CCATGCTCTACCAATTGAGCTACAGAGGACCACCATTAGAGTTAGAGCCTCAGAAATTGCAGCCCAAATAAACGCTTCACAGAGTTCAAGTAACAGACTCATCTCAACAGCAACTGTTCAGAGCAGACTGCGTGAATCAGGCCTTCATGGTCGAATTGCTGCAAAGAAACCACTACTAAAGGACACCAATAAGAAGAAGAGATTTGCTTGGGCCAAGAAACACGAGCAATGGACATTAGACCGGTAGAAATCTGTCGTTTGGTCTGATGAGTCTAAATTTGAGATTTTTGGTTCCAACCTCCATGTCTTTGTGAGACACAAAGTAGGTGAACGGATGATCTCCGCATCTGTGGTTCCCACCGTTAAGCATGGAGGAGGAGGTGTGATGGTGTGGGGGTGCTTTGCTGGTGACACCGTCTGTGATTTTATTTAGAATTCAAGGCACACTTAACCAGCATGGCTACCAAAGCATTCTGCAGCGATATACGCCATGCCCATCTGGTTTGCGCTTAGTGGGACTATAATTTCTTTTTCAACTGGACAATGATGAAAAACACACCTCCAGGCTGTGTAAGGGCTATTTGACCAAGAAGGAGAGTGATGGAGTGCTGCATCAGATGACCTGGCCTCCACAATCACCCAACCTCAACCCAATTGAGATGGTTTGGGATGAGTTGGACCGCAGAGTGAAGGAAAAGCAGCCAACAAGTGCTCAGCATATGTGGGAACCCCTTCAAGACTGCTGGAAAAGCATTCCAGGTGAAGCTGGTTGAGAGAATGCCAAGAGTGTGCAAAGCTGTCATCAAGGCAAAGGGTGGCTACTTTAAAGAATCTAAAATATATTTTGATTTGTTTAACACTTTTTTGGTTACTACATGATTCCATATGTGTTATTTCATAGTTTTGATGTCTTCACTATTATTCTACAATGTAGAAAATAGTAAAAATAAAGAAAAACCCTTGAATGAATAGGTGTGTCCAAACTTTTGACTGGTACTGTATATATATATATATATATATATATATACTGAGTTTACAATACATTAGGAACACCTGCTTTTTCCATGACATAGACTGACAAGGTGAATCCAGGTGAAAGCTGTGATCCCTTATCGATGTCACTTGTTAAATCCACTTCAATCAGTGTAGATGAAGGGGAGTAGACAGGTTAAAGAAGGAATTTTAAGCCTTCAGACAATTGAGACATGGATTGTTTATGTTTGCCATTCAGAGGGTGAATTGCCAAGACAAAATATTTAAGTGCCTTTGAACTGGGTATGGTAGTAAGTTCCAGGCACACTGGTTTGAGTGTGTCAAGAACTGCAACGCTAATGAGTTTTTCATGCTCAACAGTTTCCTGTGTGTATCAAGAATGGTCCACCACCAAAAGGACATCCAGCCAACTTGACACAACTGAGGGAAGCATTAGAGTCAACATGGGCCAGCATCCCTGTGGAACGCTTTTGACACCTTGTAGAGTCCATGCCCGATGAATTGAGGCTGTTCTGAGGGCAAAAGGGGATGCAACTCAATATTAGGAAGGTGTTCCTAATGTTTTGTACACTCAGTGTATATACAGCAAAACATCAAGAACTGTCTAAATTCACTTGACTCTTCCTTAAAAAAAATGAAAAGATTGCATATAGGTACAAAACAAAACATTGAGTGCCATCTCTTTTTTTCTCTTTGAATGAGGTGACAGAGCTGTTACGGATGGATGAAGATGGATGGAGTGTTTTTGACCAGGGTGCAGTTAAGTCAGTGAGACGGGACCACAATAGATGAAGCTCTGTTGGTTGTGATGGTTAGCCTGGGAGCTGAGGTGGATCCTCCTGCTCAGCTGACAGTAGAGCTTAACCCAGGCTGGTGATGTTGGACCTCCCACCAGGGGGCGCAGCAATGCGCTGGGTGTTGCGGCGAGGAATGTTATCATCAACTTGTGCACCTGGGCATGAGAGATACAGAGAAAAGAAAGTAAGTTACACTACATGACGAAAAGGATGTGGACACCTGCTCGTCGAACATCTCATTCCAAAATCATGGACATTAATATGGAGTTGGTCCCCTCTTTGCTGCTATAACAGCCTCCACTCTTCTGGGAAGGCTTTCCACTAGATGTTGGAACATTGCTGCGGGGACTTGCTTCCATTCAGCCACAAGAGCATTAGTGAGATCGGGCACTGATGTTGGGCAGTTAGGCCTAGCTCGCAGTCGGCGTTCCAATTCATCCCAAAGGTGTTCGATGAGGTTGAGGTCAGGGCTCTGTGCAGGCCAGTCAAGTTCTTCCACACCAATCTCAACAAACCATTTCTATATGGACCTCGCTTTGTGCACAGGGGCATTGTCATGCTGAAACGGGAAAGGGCCTTCCCCAAACTGTTGCCACAAAGTTGGAAGCACAGAATCATTTAGAATGTAATTGTATGCTGTAACATTAAAGGGCCTAGCCCGAACCATGAAAAACAGCCCCAGACCATTATTCCTCCTCCACCAAACTTTACAGTTGGCACTATGCATCGGGGCCCAAATTCATCCATTGGACTGCCAGATGGTGAGGCGTGATTCATCACTCCAGAGAACGTGTTTCCACTGCTCCAGAGTCCAATGGCGGCGAGCTTTACACCATTCGGCAGTCCCGTTCTGTGAGCTTGTGTGGCCAACCACTTCGCGGGTGAACCGTTGTTGCTCCTATACGTTTCCACTTCACAATAACATCACTTACAGTTGACCAGTGCATCTCTAGCAGGGCAGAAATTTGACGAACTGACTTGTTGGAAAGGTGGCATCCTATGACGGTGCCACGTTGAAAGTCACTGAGCTCTTCAGTAAGGCCATTCTACTGCCAATGTTTGTCTATGGAGATAGCATGGCTGTGTGCTCGATACACCTGTCAGCAACAGGTACAGTTGAAGTCGGAAGTTTACATACACTTAGGTTGGAGTCATTAAAACTCGTTTTTCAACCACTCCACAAATTTCTTGTTAAAAAACTATAGTTTTGGCAAGTCGGTTAGGACATCTACTTTGTGCATGACACAAGTAATTTTTCCAACAATTGTTTACAGACAGATTATTTCACTTATAATTCACTGTATCACTATTCTAGTGGGTCAGAAGTTTACATACACTAAGTTGACTATGCTTTAAACAGCTTGGAAAATTCCAGAAAATGAATAATAATAATAATAATATGCCATTTAGCAGACGCTTTTATCCAAAGCGACTTACAGTCATGTGTGCATACATTTTTACGTATGGGTGGTCCAGGGGATCGAACCCAGTACCCTGGCGTTACAAGCACCATGCTCTATCAATTGAGCTACAGAGGAAGAAGCCAGGAAGAAGCCACTGCTCCAAAACCGCTATAAAAAAGCCAGGCTATGGTTTGCAACTGCACATGGGGACAAAGATCCTACTTTTTGGAGAAATGTCCTCTGGTCTGATGTAACAAAAATAGAACTGTTTGGCCATAATGACCATCATTAAGTTTGGAGGAAAAAGGGGGTACCTTGCAAGCCGAAGAACACCATCCCAACCGTGAAGCACGGGGGTGGCAGCATCATGCTGTGGGGGTGCTTTGCTGCAGGAGGGACCGGTGCACTTCACAAAATAGATGGCATCATGAGGAAGGAAAATTATGTGGATATATTGAAGCAACATCTCAAGACATCAGTCAGGAAGTTAAAGCTTAGTCGCAAATGGGTCTTCCAAATGGACAATGACCCCAAGCATACTTCCAAAGTTGTGGCAAAATGGCTTAAGGACAACAAAGTCAAGGTATTGACTTGTCATCTCCCGTCTGGATTACTGCAACTCGCTGTTGGCTGGGCTCCCTGCCTGTGCCATTAAACCCCTACAACTCATCCAGAATGCCGCAGCCCGTCTGGTGTTCAACCTTCCCAAGTTCTCTCACGTCACCCCGCTCCTCCGCACACTCCATTGGCTTCCAGTTAAAGCTTGCATCTGCTACAAGACCATGGTGCTTGCCTACGGAGCTGTGAGGGGAACGGCACCTCCGTACCTTCAGGCTCTGATCAGTCCCTACACCCAAACGAGGGCATTGCGTTCATCCACCTCTGGCCTGCTGGCCCCCCTACCTCTGCGGAAGCACAGTTCCCACTCAGCCCAGTCAAAACTGTTCGCTGCTCTGGCACCCCAATGGTGGAACAAGCTCCCTCACGACACCAGGACAGCGGAGTCACTCACCACCTTCCGGAGACACTTGAAACCCCACCTCTTTAAGGAATACCTGGGATAGGATAAAGTAATCATTCTACCCCCCCTTACCCCACCCCCACAAATAAAAAAATAAATAAAAAAACATATTGTAAAGTGGTTATCCCACTGGCTATAAGGTGAATGCACCAATTTGTAAGTCGCTCTGGATAAGAGCGTCTGCTAAATGACGTAAATGTAAATGTAATGTATTGGAGTGGCCATCACAAAGCCCTGACCTCAATCCTATAGAACATTTGTGGGCAGAACTGAAAGAGCGTGTGTGTGCAAGGAGGCCTACAAACCTGACTCAGTTACACCAGCTCTGTCAGGAGGAATGGGCCAAAATTCACCCAACTTATTGTGGGAAGCTTGTGGAAGGCTACCCAAAACGTTTGACCCAAGTTTAACAATTTAAAGGCAATGCTACCAAAAACGAATTGAGTGTATATAAACTTCTGACCCACTGGGAATGTGGGAATGTATTCTGACATTTCACATTCTTAAAATAAAGTGGTGATCCTAACTGACCTAAGACAGGGAATTTTTACTAGGATTAAATGTCAGGAATTGTGAAAAACTGAGTTTAAATGTATTTGGCTTAGGTGTATGTAAACTTCCGACTTCAACTGTATATATTGTATCGTAAGGGAGATTCGAATGAGACATCTCTCTGATTTACCAGACTTTTGTTTTTGTAACAGATTAAATATAAAAGCAATATGGTACAATTGCAGGCCAAATGATAATACTTGTGTGCCTACATGTCTTAGTATTATGCTATTCCTACTGATGTGAGAGCTGTGAGAGAAACGTTGAGCTGTACTGACCAGACAGGCTGAAGCCAGACTGGTGCAGGTTACGGACAGGCTGGGGAGCCTGCTGCTGCTGCTGCTGTTGCTGCAGCTTGGCTGGAGAGGTCTTCACCGAGGTGACCGGTGTCATGACCTTAGACGTCACATTCTCACACACCGGCCCGTCATAGAGACCCCTGGGGACCCCCCTCAGCTCCGTCAGCTGGGAGGACAGACATACAGACAGACGAGATAACAGCATCAGTTTGGCTGTTCAAGTTCATCACTGTCAGTGAGAATGGTAATTAACAATCAACAATCTATTCTATTCAATGTCAGTTTCACTGCACTATAGACTCACCCTGCTGCGAGCCTTTATCCTCCTGTAGACATGGTCAGGGAAGGGCTTGCGGCTCACATAGCGCCCGCAGCCCTCAGTGGTATGGAGGTTGCCCTCTTCCAACACTATTTTGCCCTGGCTGATCACCACCAGGGGAGCTCCACGCACCTCGGTTCCCTCGAAGATATTATACTCCACAGCCTGCAAAAGAAGAGCTCTGATGAGTTTCAAATAGACTGACAAAGTACAAGAGGGCAAATAACAGAGAAAGACAGCACTTAGCCTACTTTCACATGCACATTGCAAACCCAAAAAACATGGCCTTTTTCCATTTGAACTTTAGTCTGGGCCCTTAGTCATTCAATGAATTGTGCCAGCATGGTAACTGTGACATTCAGCTGACATCATCATGAGAAACTAGTGCTGATGTAGCCAGCTAGCTCCTCTAAATGAAGAAAAGTGGTGACTCAGTGAGGGATAACTCAGGCCCTGTCTGCATGAGCTGTTCTCTAACAATTCATTTCATGTCAGTAGATTTTACTTAATGGTTTGCCTCAAAGCTTTGTAGGAAAAAGGGCTTCAATGTTTCATATGAAAATGTGGAAGAATTTTCTGATCCGAACTGAGTCCTACATACAGTAGCTGGGACTAAAACCATGTATAAACACCATGGTTATGACATGGTTAGTACAGTGTGGGTTGGCCAGGCTCTCACCAGGTTGTGACTCTTGGCAGAGATTATCTTGCTGACATCTGGGTCCCACAAGACCAGATCGGCATCAGAGCCCACTGCAATGCGGCCCTTACGGGGGTACAGGTTGAAGATCTTAGCTGCGTTGGTGCTGGTCACAGCCACAAACTGGTTCTCGTCCATTTTTCCAGTCACCTAAGGGAATCAGAAGACAAGGCGTTGTCACTTCCTGACAAACAAAACAGCTGCAAACGTTCACTTGACCAACTGAGACAACCCCTTGATGACATGAATGACTGTGGCACAAACAGGGAAAGTAAATTGATTGTTAATTCCACAACATCTATATCCATTTACAAAGACAGGATCAATTTGAAAGAGTGTATTTTTTATTGTAGGAAACCCGGCAGAAAAAGGTCAGTAGAGTGTGCCTCACCACACACTTGTCCCAGATGAGGGAGAGTCTCTCCTCAGTGCCGTTGGTGCCCTCTGGGATGAGGGTGAAGTTGTCTTTGCCCACAGCACGCTGGGAGGTGTGGAATGTGCAATGAGCACTACCAGTCACCTGCAGGTCACCACTGGAGAGGAACAATGGATGGAGGGATGGAAATAGAGATGGAGAGAGAGAGAATGACACACTCCATTCTTATGTTTGCATGTTTTGTCTTGAGTGATATGACTTTCCAGGGGCCTCATTTATTTTTTAAATTTCTTACAAAATTCTGGCGTACGTGGAGATTCTAGGATTTGCGTGCGCCACAAATTATTGGGATTTATAAAACTGTCGCAGGCAACATATACACATGTTTTCATTGATAAATCAGAGCCATATTATATTTGTTCGGTTGTAAATGAGCTGGAACTGGGCCGCACATCCTGCAAGATTGATGGTCCTTTCTAACAATCTATAAGTAAATGCTACAGCCCATACTTCTATGCAAATGAAGAATTGTTTTTCAATATTTTGTTTTGTGAAGGAACATTTTATTTGTGCTTTTCCAATAACCAATTCGACTGGGTTCATGCAAGTGACTGATTGATCGTGCCTGGGAGGAATCCTCGCTATCAGTATAAAGGATTTGGCAGTATGCCCAGAACATTGTTTTGAGAACCGAAAGGGGTGTCTCAGTTTCAAGGGCTCAGCTTGGAGAGAAGAAGCCTCGTGAGGTATTGGTCGGTCACATGCATGAACCAAAAGTTATTGATGAATTAATTATGAATAATGAATAAGCTAAATCATGCAAATATAAATATATATGTTGCTTTCTTTTGGGTGATTATTAGTGAGCTGGACACAGTCAAGAAACTGTATGAATGTAGGTCCATTATCATTTTCTACACAGTTTTGATTTAATTATAGTCATTTTAAAGTATACTGAGTTCGTCCCCCCCCCCAAAGAACATGTATAAAACGTTATTATAATTTGTTTTACTCAAACCACCCGCGGGCCGTATGTTTGACACCCCTGGTATAGGCTCTGAAATTAAATAGGCTAGGCTACGATGTCATGCTCCTAATCCTGTCGCACAGCAATACTGTAGCCTACCTATACTGCCACATACTGTCGAGGCTACCGGCCTATTTACTTTCGAGCATGTTTGGCTATTGAATGATCAATTGATAAATGGTAGCCTACTATTTGTTGTGTAGCGGGAATAATTTAAACCAGTTATGATTTAGGCCTATATAATAAAATAAAAATACCAACAGCAAATTCATCTGTTTTATCATTAGGCCTATGTTTTACTGTTTTTATTAGCCTACCATTATTATAATTCCATTGCATCAAACACCTCCCATTTCCCCCAAACGAACAATAAGCCTATTTGCGTACAGTACAGTTGATCAACCTTCTAGAAGTTGTGCGAACGCATGGTTTGGGATTTGCGTGGAGATACACACACTTTCCCGTCAAGTTCAAAATGGATAAATAACAACCTTTGCGGGAAAACTGGCGCACGCAAGGTTAGAGTATTTTTTGTGCGCACTCACATTTGATAAATGAATCCCCAGGAGGCTAGGATGACATACCACATTCTGGTGGAAGATGTGTGTAAGTAACACATGATTACTGCATAGCTCTGTGTTGAGTAGAGGTGCATAGTGTAAATGGAGCACCTACCAGGAGAGGAGTGAGTTGAGATAGTCAGGGGTGGTGGGGTCAGGGCTGAGGGGTGGGGAGGTGATGAAGGCAGCTGCCTTGGCCCAGTTCTTACTCCAGTAGTGGGTGCCGTCCGTGCCCAGGCTGGCAGAGATAGGCTCTCCATACACCACAGCACCTAGAGTACCACAGAACACAGCAAAACACCAGGTCAACATGGCAGGGAGAGTGAGTGTTCTATTTACCTCAGAGGGCTTGTGCCCTGTCTCCAAAGCAGGACTGATTTACAAGTGGAATCATTTATGTGGGATTTGACATTTAGTGTACCTTAAAACGGACGGCGAGCCTAGCGGTTAAGAGAGCCAGGGCCAGTAACCGAAAGGTTGCTGGTTTAAATCCCAGAGCCGACTAGGTGTGTTCCCACTTAACCCTTATTGCTTCAGGATCACCATCAACCATGTCTGATCCTTGGATCTGACACCACTCTCTGGGGTTTCTCAGGGGGAGTGCGGTATGCAGAAAAAACTAATTTCCAATTCGCACATGTGTGAAATAGGACAATTGTAAGCACTCACATTATTATTAAACAGTAGTTACGATACACAAACCACAGAGAGCAATCAATACAAAACGTGTTGCAGTAGTCCATCACAACACTTTCTCTTTAATATTACCCTTTTTCCTGGCCAGGGCGATGACGTCAGCAGCACTCTTGCTCATGACCTTGGTGATGTAGAGGGGGCAGTTGGTCTGATTGGCCACAGTGACTGACCGGTTGACTGCTTCTGCCTCCACCTACACAATAGTGACAGACACAGACACAGAGTGAGAGAGTTCAGACCAGACTCAGTGACCTTCATGTTGAGTTACAGACTACCTTCACTGCTGCAGTATTTACCAAAATGCTGACTAGGCATTCTGGAAGAAGCAAGCATAGGAGAAGAACACTCAGAGACTTGACTCTCACATTCACTTTTAAGTTACTTATGTAGTGAGTTCTGGTAAAGGAGAAGTTTGCTTTTTAACAACCAAATCTCTAAATAGCACTTCTCCATTTTGATTCGACTCGAGCTGTTCCCCCTATCCAGCATTTCCATTCACTGTGTAGCCTGCTGCTAGAATGGACGGAGCGGTATCGCTCGAGTCGTAACAAAATGGAATATAACGTTGCGGATAAAGTTCGGAATGACACAATTTCATGTGCACAACATCTAAAGACCTGCATTACTATACTGGGAGCTTTTCAGTTTCTAAAATGACGTATTTGGGTGTTTTTAGAGCCTTTGTTCATGTTTTTTCGGAGCCCCTGTACTGCACAACGAGGAAAAGAAAGTGGATCGCTGGTTGTGGTAAACACATTTTATAACTAGCTAGATCACAAAAAAATGGCCAATGCAAAAATATTTAACTTAGACTCTTGGAATTATCTAGTTTCAACGACTTAGTATCTCGTTTGAATGACTTAGTATCTGGTTCAAACAACTTTTTTTTACTAAGAGATACTAAGTCATTCAAACGAGATACTAAGTCGTTTTAACGACTTATCTTGTTTGAACAACTTAATTGTTATTTTGTCTAATTAGGCCTCATTTGTTACTGTCACGGACGTTGAAGGACGGGTCAGACCAAGGCGCAGCGTGAAATGCATACATATTTATTTCAACGATAAACACACCAACAAAACAACGTAACGTGAAGTCCTCAGGCTAAACACAAAACAAGCCTCTACACGGAACAAGATCCCACAACTAATGATAACAAACAGGCAACTTAAGTATGATCCCCAATCATAGACAACGAGCGACAGCTGCCTCTGATTGGGAATCACACCCGGCCAAACATAGAAACACACAACCTAGAATGAGAACATAGAAATAACAACATAGAACTCCACACCCTGACTCAACATACTAGAGTCCCATAAGTCAGGGCGTGACAGTACCCCCCCCAAAGGTGCGGACTCCGACCGCACAAACCTGACATAACAGGGTAGGGTCCCGGGTGGGCATTCCGCCTTGGAGTGGGCATCCCGGATCCGGCTCCGGGCGTGACGACCACATTCTCTCAGCCTCCCCGTTGCGCCTCTGGTCTGATCTGGACCTCGGCGCGCTGCTTCCCCTCTCCTTCCTCCCACGATGTACCAAGCCCTGTCTGGACCCTGGTGTGGGAGACCCCGAACCTGGAGAGGGGCTGACGTCTGGGTCTGGACTATGGCCGCTGACCGGAGCTGGACTGGGCACCGGTGGAGCGGCCTGCTCTGGCTCCGGACTGGAGCCGCTGACCGGAGCTGGTCTGGGCACCGGTGGAGCAGACTTCTCTGGCTCCGGAGTGGAGCTGCTGACCTGAGCTGGACTGTGCACCGGTGGAGCGGACTGCTCTGGCTCCGGAGTGGAGCTGCTGACCGGAGCTGGACTAGACCCCGGTGGAGCGGACTGCTCTGGTTCCGGAGTGGAGCCGCTGACCGGAGCTGGACTAGGCACCGATGAAGCGGACTACTCTGGCTCCGGAGTGGAGCAGCTGACCGGAGCTGGACTGGACCCCAGTGGAGCGGACTGCTCTGGCTCCGGAGTGGAGGAGCTGACCGGAGCTGGTTTGGGCACCGGTGGAGCGGACTGCTCTAGCTCCTGAGTGGAGCAGCTGACCGGAGCTGGACTGAACACCGGTGGAGCAGACTGCTCTGGCTCCGGAGTGGAGCAACCGACTGGAGCTGGATCAGGCACCGGTGGAGCGGACTGCTCTAGCTCCGGAGTGGAGCCGCTGACCGGTGCCGAACCAGGCACCAGTGGAACGGGCACGGGCCGTGCCGGACTGGACACACGCACCACTGGTCTGGTGTGAGGAGCAGGCACGGGCCGGACCGGACTAGGAACACGCACCACTGTCTTGGTGCGAGGAGCAGGCACGGGCCGGGCCGGACTGGCGACACGCACCACTGGCTTGGTGCGGGGAGCAGGTACGGGTCGTACCGGGCTGGCAACACGCACCACTGGCTTGGTGCGAGAAACAGGAACGGGCCGTACCGGACTGGGGACACGCACCACTGGCTTGGTGCGAGCAGCAGGAACAGGCCGGGCCGGACTGGCGACACGCACCACTGGCTTGGTGCGGGGAGCAGGCACGGGCCGTACCGGACTGAGAACACGCACCACTGGCTTGGTGCGAGGAACAGGAACGGGCCGGGCCGGACTGGGAACACGCACCACTGGTCTGGTGCGAGGAGCAGGTACGGGCCGGGCCGGACTGGGGACACACACCACTGGCTTGGTGCGGGGAGCAGGTACGGGCCGTACAGGACTGGTGAGGTGCACTGGTGACACAGTGCGTAGAACCGGAGCAGGATATACTGGACCTTGGAGGCGCACTGGAGACCAGGAGCGTTGAGCCGGCACAACCCGTCCTGGCTGGCTGCCCACTTTCGCACGACACGTGCGGGGCGCTGGCACAGAACACACTGGGCTGTGCATGCGCACTGGCGATACAGTGCGTATCTCTGCATAGATGGGTTCCTCAATTAACCCACGCTCCTTATGTTGCCTAACCAGCTCCTCTCTCCGTGCATCTACTTCCTCCTTCTCCCGACGAGCCTCCTGCAGTGCCTCCTCTTGAATGGAGCTTTCCTGCTCTATTCTCGCTATCAGCCCCCGTAATGTGGTGGCCTCCTCTCTTACCCTGCAGATCCGATCCTTCTCTCTCTCTCGGCAATCCTCCTCCAGTGAGGACTCCTCCGGGAGCCCCCACGAGTTAGGGAACAGAAACTCATCGTTGTCGTCATCCTCCGACTCCTCAGTATAAAACTGTTCCCACTCTTGTTCCCATGGTCGTAGGGACTCAACCTGGAAACCCACCGGGTGCAGTGGTCGGGGCTCTTCTCTCTCGCTCCCCGACCACCCCTTTAGCCCCCCCAAAAAATGTTTATTGGGGCTGCCTCTCGGGCTTCCTCCTCTGCCGGAGCCTTCTGTGTTGCCGTTGCTACTCTCCTGCCTGGGCTTCCACCTTCGCCCAGGGTCCTTTCCCCGCAAATATCTCCTCCCAAGACCAAATCTTCCCCACCTGTGTCCAGGGTGTTTGCTCCTGGGCACGCTGCTTGGTCCGTGTTTGGTGGGATCTTCTGTCATGGACGTTGAAGGACGGGTCAGACCAAGGCGCAGCGTGAAATGCATACATATTTATTTCAACGATAAACACACCAACAAAACAACGTAACGTGAAGTCCTCAGGCTAAACACAAAACAAGCCTCTACACGGAACAAGATCCCACAACTAATGATAACAAACAGGCAACTTAAGTATGATCCCCAATCAGAGACAACGAGCGACAGCTGCCTCTGATTGGGAATCACACCCGGCCAAACATAGAAACACACAACCTAGAATGAGAACATAGAAATAACAACATAGAACTCCACACCCTGACTCAACATACTAGAGTCCCATTAGTCAGGGCGTGACAGTTACGCAGCTTTTCAGACCGTCTAATGGTTGCTGCAGTCATTCATGCACTGATTCCATCCTTTGATATGATTATTAATTGACAGTTATTTGATAGCCTAAAGCAGGGCTGCTTTTGAATGCCAGAGCATGTAAGTGGGCAAGTGTGGAGCGTAATTTGAGCAGATTTTTTAAAATGGTGCTGGCCTTCTCTCCCGCTGCAATGCCGCTGTCGGCCTTCTCTCACGCTCCAATTTCGCTCTGGTACTGCTCAGCCACAAGCTCTGCGCATGCTCTGCCTAGCATTTTTTGTTTCCTTTATCACAATTATTTTATTTAGGCCTATTCGGTTGTAATTATTTAGCCTACCCCACCCACAGTAGCCTATATCTAGTTTATATTCTACTTTCTGTAATTTATATTTTGAAGGACTTGAATGTATTAAAGGATGTTTTAGGTGGGCAATACATAGGCTACTGTAAAATGTATTTTAGTTTTTCTTGGAATAGGAAACTCCATAATATAAATCAATTTAACTAAGCTAAAATATCAGAAATAAATCAGAAATAATAAAGGCCAGTACCAGCTTCTTTTCATAAATAAAAGGGAATAAATAATATCAAACTGCAGCGGTCAAATGATTTGCGCACAGAAGCAAGCACCAATAAGCTTCACATGTGCATTGAGCATTGGAAATGCGCTCTACAAATTAAATATAATTATTATAAAGACAGAGAAATACACATGTAAAAGCTTAATTACTGTAAGGGTTGGTGTGAGGTGTGACCCAGATGCGGTGCAGGATATACAGTAGGCAGTGGTGGTGAAACAAGGATCTTAACTGGTGGTCCCGAAGCTAAAATACAAAATAACGGACTTATCATGATAAAAGAAAGGCGGAGCAAATAAGTCTCTAAAAACCGGCTGACAGCCAAAATACGAAATACTACTTACGACTGAAACAAATAACGAAACAGGGAGAACACTTCTCAAGTACCTGTACATAGGTCTCCGATCAGACACTGAGTAGTACTGCTGTACATACAGAAACGTACAGAAAAAAACTGAGCAAGGGAACACAGGGAAGTGAGGGCATAAATACACAGGTGAACAGGTAGACACAGGTGACACCAATAGGATAATGATTAGTCCAGACTGAGTGAGGAGGTGCCTAAGGTTGTTGGAGGTTGACACCTAGTGGGAAACTGCGACCCCCTCCTGTAACAAATTACATAAAGGAATATTAGTGGGAATATATACATAATACAGTGGCTTGTGAAAGTATTCACCCACCTTGGCATTTTTCCTATTTTGTTGCCTTACAACCTGGAATTAAAATGGATTTTTGGGGGGTTTGTATCATTTGA